GTCGGGTCAACTGTTTAAAAGTTCGAGTCGGGTCGGGTTGAACCACTGACCCGACCCGACTCGTTCGGAGCTCTATTTTTGGCATTTTCAGCATTTTTGATATTCTCGACATTTTTGTCATTTTGGCATTTTTGGGCAGTTCTGACAGTTTTGGCATTTCAGCAGTTTTGGATTTTTGACATTTTTGACATTTTTGACATTTTCGGCATTTTTGACATTTTCGTCAGTTTTGGCATTTTCGGCATTTCGGCAGTTTCGGCATTTTGGCACTATGTAGGAGGTTTTACCTTTCTGCATCAGGCTAAACAGATTTTGACAGGCAACCTTACTTGGGCTTCATCTTGGTGTATATCTTTTTTGATCTCAATCCAGATATAGGGTGTACCAACCAAGACCAACAGATAAATCTGCTCTACCTTTTAGTATTACATTTGCTGTCTGTAAATAACGTTCATATGTTATTTCTTTATGATTCCGCAGTTCCAGTGTTTCCAATGTTCTAGTGATGTTCTAAACTTTTCCTACCGGAACCAATAATTTCCAACACTAGCATTTTTTATAACTTTTGCAATTGATGATGCCTCTAAAATATAGGTATATTTTAATTAATTAATAATAATAAATATAAGAAACAAAAGGCATCATCACATTGTCAGGAATTTCATTAACTTGAAAAACAGGATTTCATGAACTTGATTCTTGGCTGGACTTTTTTCTTAAGAAAAAATTTGAAAAAAATTTTTTTTTCATAATAAAAATAAATAAATAATAAAATAAATTACTTGAAAGAGGAGGAATTTTTTAATTGACCGTGGGTTCACAAATTTAACAAGATAGAATTAATAGTCACCAAAAGCTGATACTATTAATAAAAAAACTTTTCAATTTTTTTGACTTGTCCTTCTTTCATTACTGTTAATTTTTTTTTCTACTATTAAGTTAAAAAGTCAACATGGATTGGTTTTTGATACTAAGAAATAAATCTTCTTTCAACAATGTAAAGAGTATATAGTAAAAATAAAAACAAAATTTTTTTTTTCGAAGAAAAATAAGTTTTTATGAAATACAAGGTATATTATCAGTAAAAAAAATTTATTTACTAGAGTGAAAAAATAACCACCACTATTTTAATAAATGACACCTAGTCAATTAGTGCACATTCTCTTATATTTCAATTTTTCTTTTCTTCCGGATTCGATATTAATTTTTAGATACTTTCTTATAATTATTTATTATTATATTAAAATTTTATCCGTTCATCATCAATAATAATAAAATCTTCAAATCGAAATTATATTAATTATACATAAGAAATGCAATTTCTTTAACCAACATATAAAATAATATTTTTCCTTTACTGGGATTTATAATTTGTTAGATAATGTCAATAATAAAATTTATTTTAGTACTATTATTATCCGTTACTTTTAAAACCATCATATTGAGTACAATAACAACGGTGGTGTCAACTGAAATTATTGATAATACTTTATCTGGTATGCCCAAATGAAATAATTATGTTTGTTATGTTATCACGAAAATTTGGGACATCTAATTTGTAGAAAAATACATTATGGTTTTGATTTTCTTTTCAGGAAGTATTGGTTTGTTTCTTTGTTTGCTTTGTGAATTATAATTATTATTTTTTTATTTGACTATTAGCTGATCGGTTTAAATCTAGTTTATAGATGTTAGTTATTTCACCAGTAGTTCAAATTTTTTAAAGAATCTGTTCAATTCTTCCTTCCAAAGGTAATCGGTCATTTTACTCCAAATAAAGTGTTGATAAATTTATGCTCAAAACCAATTCTGGTTCTCATAGATATTTGTTACAATTTACCTAAATTTAGTCTCATTTCATTAATTATGTCTGTTGTAAATTTCAGAAAGGTCATTCCAAACAACAAATTTTACCTTGCCAATACTCAATTTTCACAATATGATTTAAATGACATGAGGATAAATGAATACAAATATTAACAAAAAAAAAAGATAAAACAGATAATTATATGTTACTAAATATTCCGCATTTTTCACATGAAATCAATATCGACACCATTGAAAAAAATTTTGCTTTCAGATGAAAATTTTATTTTATTCAAATGAAAACTTTTTAATACTAATTGTTTTAATTTAAAAATACAAATAAATCGATTTGACATTTTTATGAACTTCTAATAATAAGTTAATTTCAGACGTCATCAATAGATGACTATGGCAACAAAATAAAAATTTAGTTTATATATAATTTAGACAATTTGGAGTTTTATTATTTATATAATGTCGTCGATAACACAGGGCAATAAAATAAATTTACTTATTAGGATATAACTATGCTATCACAATTACATCAAATTTAAACCCTGAAATCTTTAGGTAATATAACGTTCACTGTGTTACGTGCAGTATGTCCTATATGGGGCATGCTGCAACAAAACCAGACAAAGTGAACATTGGTATTACCAAGAATTTCAGGGATCAATAATGTTTAACATCATATTGTATTACCAATGCAATGTGATCGTGATATTTGTCTAGACAAAAATAGTTAATATGAAACTCATTTACATTGGGTCTACTATGGAACCAAAGAATTATAGCACCATTAGAAATATTTTGAAAAAGGAACAAGGTGAAAAAATTGCTCCTTACATTTTCAAAATAAAATGATACTCAAACACTAGAAATAGTGTTCCATGTCGCAATCCAAAAAAGGAAACCAAAGTGGTCGCAAAGGTGGTTGCAACCAGGTGTCACAAACCATTTTTATATGTCGCAAATATGGTTGCAACCATCACCAAGAATTGCGACCAGCATCTATAGCAGCTGTACAACAAAGTGGTATTACTCGGTTTGATGTATTTGATTATGGTATCTTTAAAATAAAAGAAGACAAGTACACACCAAATCCAAGCTGTACAGATGATAATGGTAATTGGGTGTATAAAAGGTTAATGCTTAACAATTTGTTGTAATAATTAATTCATAAAAATTCAATGATAAAATAAAAATATAATCAATTCATTAATATTGCAAAAAATTTAAATAAATTTTTATCTCTTTTCATCATTTTATTGGTTATTTTTACCTGAATAACGTTTTTATGTGAAAATCACATTAATTAAAATCAAAATCTGGACTCTAATATGGTAATATTTTTAACTCTGGTGGAGAATCAGTTTGAAAATAGGATTAATTAGAACAAAAAAAGAAGAGCAACACTATAGTGAACAACCTTTTTTTAATGATTTTCTTTCCATTGCCAAGGAGTTATTATTAACTTTAAAGAGGATAATTTAATTGGAGTCAATTATTATAGCAGCTTTTTAAAAAAAAGCCATGCTAAAAATTTTTCAGTGGGGACAAAGAAAAATTTAGCCATGAGCCAATGTCAATTTTATTGAATGAAGATTGTTTTAGAATAAGAACTAGTTCAACCTACTGTAGGATAATGCAAAGACTGAAGAAGTCTTGTTTCATTGAATGGAATGCAAAAATCATGTGATACAATATTGACACAGAATTTCTAATACTATATTAATATAGTACTGTATAGTTTTATACATTTATTAATTATTCTTAAGAATTCTACAATAACCCAATTGCAGCAACAGAATGGTCAAATTGCTGTGAGATCAAAATCCACGTCTCACACAAATCTCTTGGATTGGTTAAATTAATATTTATTTCGTTTGATGGCAGTATCCAATTATGTAATTCTTTGATTACTTTCTCTTACTATAGCTCTCAAGCTATTTAATTATTTACAGGGCAAGTTTCCTTACTTCCCTTCCAGTAACGTTTTCTCAGCAGTTCTTTGTTATCTGTCTGAGCCGGCACGTCTCAATGATATTTATAATATCTGAAGTATCCGTCGTGATACTTTCTACATTGATTATTATATTTATGGTTCAGTCTCTTAACTGACCTCACTAAAAGCACTAAAAGAAAAGAAAAGAAATAGAAAATAATAAAATTAATAGAGACAAATATAAAATAAGAGAAAATAATTATGCACGGGATTAGTATAAATTTGTCGTTAGGGATAGATTTATTATCATTACGAAAATATAATGTTTGAAGACCACAACGACAAGGTCAAGGTTTATTTATTATAATATTTGAGTTTACTAAAAAAACTTATAAAACTAATGATTACATGAAAGAGAAATTTACAACGTATTTATACATTTTAGAGGTTCTATCATCTAGTTCTCCGATTTCTTTAAAATCCTAAATTATATTAATTAATGTATTATTTAAACCTTCCATGTAGAATTATTTTCAAGTAATTTCTAGTCAACATGAGTCATGTAAAATAATTCTTTCGTTTAAATATTATTCTGAGACTTTGTAATTCGTTATATTTTAGAATGTTGGAATATTTATATTTCCAATATTTCCGTGAGTCAATTATTTTATTGGTGTTTGAATAAATTTAACTGTTTTGATCACTTGATCAGTTTTTCCAATTTTATTTGCGTGTAACTTTGTAAATCATCTCTGATTTATATATCAGTTTCCCGTGATTTATAATTTACTATTTTACAGTGTAAAGAAGGAGATTGTATAGTGTATAAGCCCCAAAACGTTCAATAAGCTCATTAAAAAATCCTTTACTTTGATGAGATGGATTATTCAAAGTATGGAAACAGTAATTGTTGATGGCATTTGTAGCTTCTATAATGGCAAGTGGGTTATTAAGTTACTCGAGATGTATTAAGGTTTTTCCATCCAGATCTGTAATGCACTCAGGTTTCACAACATAATGAAGTTTCTTCAACCCATCCAGTGAACTGAAATCCTTTTGTGCTTTGATAATCAGATTGGCCTTCTTTGTGATGGTCTTTTTATCAAAATTATTTTCATTATTTTTCAAGTCCAAGGCATGTTGGAGTCTTTTCCACTTATTTTTGAGAAGGCGTCACACTTCCCTTGGTCCAATTGGTTCCTTAAAGCCTATCCATTTTCCAAAAGCAATCCACAATTTTTTGTTAAGATATGATTCCTCATTAATTTCAACTTCTTTGTTGGTTATTTCTCTGTTGATCAATTTGAGAAAAACTTGAGGAATTGCATATGAATCAAGATCACTATTGCCTAGTTTTGCCTCTCAGAATAAGGTCTCAATGAATAAATCTTGAGTGGATACATCTTGTTGAGTCTTGCTTTCTTTTGATGATACATAATCTGAGATACAGAGGGGAATGCTTGTCCATTCCTTTTCAATATAATAAATCTTATCATCTGTGCACAGTCCTCGATTTTCAGATTGGGTTTGATGCTAAAAATAGTTTGATAGTCAAATTTTGAGAAATATATTATAATAAAAATATAACAGAGTGTGTTAATATATTGTGCCATATCTAGTAGTCAAACATTTTTATTGTTGTTTTGCTTCACAAACATATGTTACTCTGGATAAAGAACAATTATACCTTTAATGGATCAAAAATGATGTCAATGGGGGTGGTAGGTAATGGTAAGTCTTCTTCTGGTTCTTGAGATGCTTCTTGTTTCTTATGTTTTTTATTAGAGTGTTGATTTCATGAG